CTTTCGTGAGATATCGCGTAACATACGATAGTGTCTAACAGACAGACAAATACCTATCAACATACTTACCGATCGAGATCGATAAGTAATAAATTGCCACCGATGTTATGCTCAGAATAATTTGAAGGGTGCGATGCTCGCTTGAGTTTATGAAAGTGCGCAGATTAATTGGGTATCAACTGATGTCGCCATTCCAACTTGCCAATCTATTATTGGACACGTTTAGTGTACATAACGATCGTTTTGGTGTTATGTTGTTACTTATCGATCTTAAGATCGGTAAGTATATTGATAGGTATTTGTCTGTGTGTATGTCTGTGTGTCTGTTAGATGACCGCGATATCTCACGAAGGCGTGGTTGAATCTGCTCCAAATTTTGCATGTGCATTCATCATATCTCGAACCAAAAGCCTATTGATTTTGGATGAATTATGTCGTATAATTAGCGAGTTATTAATTAATTAGTGATGAAGAGATCTGGATTTTCACAAATCGAGAGATTTTCGAGACGCGCTGAATGTGTGTGTGCGTATCAGATGCACAAGTTTTCACGCTAGTGAGTCAGAGCGAAGGATACACACCGCTAGATCGTATCTCGTGATTAATCTTTGAGCCTTGTCCATATCTCTCTTGTATCTTTGACGTCGTCGCGATGCGCAAGTTTCCTTCGAGAAATTTTCCACACTATTAGGTCAGAGCGAAGGATACACGCCGCGAGATCGTATCTGGTTACTTATAATTACTCCTTAAAGTTCAAGCAATGTCCATATCCCTAAATCAGGTTCGGGGTTGCAGAATTCCTCACCAAAATATCGCTAGGCTGTGTTTGAATAGCCGTCGCAACCTGGGGTTAGCGCCGTTGTATTTGACACAAACTATAGGATTGGTAAATACAGAAATAGGCTATTGGCTGGAAACTAATCGAAACAATCCAGTTCGGATTTGCAGAATTCTTCATAAAAGTATTTCCTCGAGTAGTATTTTGACGACATGGGGAGCTGGCTATTGTTTCCTACATTTCTGATATTGGCTGAAAACTAATCAAAACAATCCAGTTCGGGTTTGCAGAATTTTTCGAATCGAAACCGCAGTTTCTGTTTTTGGGGATCCCCTAACTTTCGATCGATAAGCCTTCGGTCTCTAACCGATATTCTCGTTCTTTGACACTTTTTGGACACCTAGTGGAAATATTAAAAAACCGCATTTCTCTTTGATCACTAGACCAATTGCTTTGAAATTTTTAGTGGTTAAAGATGAAATTTTTCCCCAGAAGGCTATCACTTTTATTCATCTTAAATATTTCTGTTAGCTCTGTGAGATTTGTCTTTGTCTGCTATGACGTCATTAAACGTTCTGTGGACATCGGACGCCATTTTGTGTCCTACTGTATTGCTTCGCTTGGTGTGAATATATTTGTAGACTGTGATCTGACGGTACGTTAAACCGTACTGTACTGCGAACAGACGTGTCCATATATTCGGGCGTAGCTCTCTCTTGTTTTTATTTATTCCTAAATTTTCTATGAATCTTTTGAGATCTAATATTTGAACAAAATTGCGCTGTATTACTTTTTAATTATGGGAACACAGTTTTTAATCAAGTCCGTCAGGCGTGACGGCGTACTGTGAAAATTCTTGCGACTGGAAACTCGAAAGTTTTTGAGGATACGGTACCGGTAACGTCAAAGGTCAGGACTGCTTCGCTTTGGTCCACGTGTCCATATATTTGAGCGTTGCTCTCTTGTTACCTTAACAAGAGTGCGATGCTCAAATATATAGACACGAATGCCAAAACGAAGCAGCAGTCTACCTTATCTTATAGTATAGTATATTTTTGACACTTCAGTAGAGTAGCTAAAGTACTGTATGAGGCTTATACCAGGCTTATAAGCAGTGGTGGGATTCAAATTTTTTGTCAGCCGGTTCCTTCACAAAAGTCATATTTTTCAGCCGGTTCTGTTACAAACAGAACATTGACAGTAACCAGTAGTGCTATCCGGTTCGCTGAGCTCATAAAATTCCGTGAGACGGTTCTATAGAACCGGCTGAATCCCAACACTGCTTATAAGGCTTCAAGGAAGTGGCACGAGAAAGGTCGTGACAACGAATTTTTTTTAATTTTGAAGAAGTCATCACACAAAACTTCGAAGTGAAAAATGAATCGCATAGAGCCCAAGGAGAGTTTCCAAATTAACAAAAGTGTTAGCCTTCTAGCGAAAAATACAATCTTTAACCACTGAAAATTTGAAAGCAATTGGTCCAGTAGTTTATAACAACAAGAAGAATACCAACAAAATCAACAACATAATAACGAGAATATCGGTCGGAGACCGAAGACTTATCGATCGAACTGCGGTTTCGATTCATGACTCTATAGTGACACCGCGTTTCCAATCACTAATTAATTAATAACTCGCTAATTATGCAACATAATTCATCCAGAATCAATAGGCTTCTGGTCCAAGATATGATGAATGCACAAGAGGACAAACAAACAGACAGACAGACAAATACCTATCAACATACTTACCGATCTTAAGAATGATAAGTAACAAAACGATCCATATGTACTATTCGTGTCCAATAGTAGTAACTGAGTGCAGATGGACAATTGGATGCATATTTGCATTGAAAATAGAATCAGAAACAAGCATAATTTGTATTGATATACTTCACCATATAACATGCGCGTAGTCAATATCGAAATTAAAAGCTTTGTTCATTTTGATTACATAATGCTTCGTGGTCAATTAGCTCACTAATAAATACCATTGTAAAAATATTGAAACCGACAAAGTTTCCAATGTCGCAATACTTTGTGTTGATTTGCATTTTCCCATCCAATACTGTCTCCAAATTTGCAGTCAGGATAATAGTCATTGTGTGGTTTGTTGTTACATATTAGCATTGCAGTTTATAGTCTAGTTGACATGAACAGAAAATATTTTTATTGGGACTTAATCATATGATGTTGCGATTGGTTCTTCTTGTATTTGTCAAAATGAGTAATGACTTCAGACTTAGACTTACACACACAGGTTTCAATTCCTTCTACAAGAACAGAGTATGTGCAAAAAACAGTGTACATGGCCATTTTGCAGTGTTTACATGGCCATTTTTGTGTCAAACTGTATTTTTACGTTCTGAAAAGTTAGAGATTACATTCTGAACACTTTGAACAACAATATGGTGGTTATAAAACGTAGGTTTAAAGATTGAAAACAAAAATGCCCAACTATTTTGAATTAGGGGAACTTGGATATTGTGTATTGAACTGCAGGTCCTTTCTCCTTGTTTACTTTCTACTTCGGATCCGTATGTGGTATTTTCCACAAGGATGCTTGAACGAGATAGTATTGAAGTGAAAAGTAAAAATAACATGATCTTTTTCAACGAAATAGTAAGTTTATTTGTGAGCTTTCGTTAGATCATGGTCTAACTTCTTCAAACAATACAAGATATAACTTATTTAAACTGCGAATTTTGAACTAATGAAATTTTTGGTATAATTTACTGTTGAGGTATTGCCTGGCGAATTAATACTTGTACGTTTTAAATGGTTGGACAAAAAATGTTTTTTTGAGAGCAAAAGAAATACAGACTGCCAATTAAAGATTTTGCTGACGGTGAGCTACACGAAACACATACAAATTTGCGAAATATAAAATCATTACTAATGAGATAATATGTACCTCCAACGTAGTTTTGTTAACAAATCTTCTTTCTGCGTAGGCTTAGTGGTCAACCACGGTTGTAGACTTATTGTGCTTGAAAACCTGATTGAAGCAGCAGTCTGGATTGTGGTCGGGCTAAAAGTGCCCCTAGAGTTTTAAAGTTGGTATGAAAACTTATCCTTTCATCAAAGGGAGACAGAGAAACAGACGATGACGTTTTTCCACGTTTGTTGACTAATCAACGTTTGTCACGAGCTGTATTTTGCTTGTTTTATTTAGTGAATAGATATTTCAACAAAAATTCTTTGCATGTATAGTTCAATTTATATTGTACGAAATATTTATACTTAAAAATTAGAGGATATTCTGATATATAGCACTTGAACTTGTGAATTATCACTTCCAATCACGTCATATACAGTATCTTTATTTGTGTAATATATAGGTCTACGTCGAAGGATGTGAGCGTCAAAATAATATTTTCTATTCAACTCTCCAGTGGCCAATTTAATGCAATTGCTTTCATTGTTCACGTATATAGAGCCTTCTGCGGTTGCCCCGTGACATTAAATATTAATCTTGAGAAT